TCAGGCTGAAAAGCCTCTGGGCCTGAAAGGCCCAGAAATAGGCTGAAAACGGAATAGGGCCTGCAGGCCCTCGTTTTTCAGTTTCAGACTGAAACAACCGGGGCCTGTAAGCCCTATTTTCTAGGCTTTTAGACTGAAAGTGCGGGACGGGCCCTGCAGGGCCCGTGTGGCTACGCAGTATGCCACACCCCCCCCTCCTTGAAAGACCGAGCTTACGTGCGAGGGCGAAGCTGTCTGTCTGAGGGAGGGACCATCGTCCGGGTGGGAGGGGCCGGTCGTGAAGCTTCCTGAGCTAACCTTTGCTTCTCATAATGCGTGTAGATCAGCGGTGCGGATGCTTTCAAATCTGCTCCTGAAATCCACTGAGTGTTGTCGCGATCGCAGGCTTTGAATGTCACTTTGTACTGTCTCGGCTTGCTGCCATACTTGCGATCGGTGATGACGCGGTCAACTTCTTGATGGCCATCCATAGAAGGAGGGTCCTGCGATCGTCGGCCCGGAAAGTCGTCGCTCTTAGCTGGCGCGTATGTTGCCAGCTTTGAGGCGTGAAAGACTGGATGGACCGTCAAATGCGGGGGAATGTTGATCACAAATGAAGGGCCATCGGGCTCATCGCCCACGGCTGATGTTACAGGCCATGGTCCAAACCACTTGGGAAGCAGTTTGCGTGAGACATCCTGTTCCAGTGCAAACTCTTTCGCAGAAACTCAAACCAGGTCGCCGGCGCGGATGGGACATGGCACGCGATGCCTGTTGGCTTGCTGCTGCATGCGGACTTGAGCCCTTGCATATTTGTGTGGGCTTGAGCCAACAATTCCCTGTACTTCCGGACGGAAGCGGGAGAGCAAGCGGCATCGATGTCGGCTGGTCATGGGAGGAGAAGGTCGGCGAAGATACGGCCTTTCCGTCCATCGTGGTGCAACTCGAATGGAGTCACGCCGATCGCCGGGTGCACCGAAGTGTTGTAGGCGAACTCGATGTCGGGGAGGCGGTCAACCCAATCTTTCTGGTCCGGACGGATGAGTGTACGAAGCATCATTTGAGCGGTTTGATGTGCCCGCTCCGTCTGCCCGTCTGTCTGTGGATGCCGAGCTGAACTTGGCTTCATCTTCATGCCGGACTCCTGCATGAGTGCAGTCCAAAATGCCGACATGAAGCGAGTGTCGCGGTCGTTGACAATGTCTTCCGGTACACCATGGCCGCAAATCCAGTCGGTGTGCAGGAGGCGTGCCATCTCGGGAGCCGTGGAGTAGTACTTGCAAGGGAGAAAATGCGCGTGCTTACTCAATCGGTCCACGACTGTGAGGATGCCGTCGTGTCCGAGGCGGTCGCGGGGGAATGGTCCGATGACATCCATGGCAATGGAGAGACCGGGTTCCTGCGGGATCGGCATCGGGCGCAGCTCGCCGTAGGGGTTGCGGTTGCGGGGTTTGCTTCGTTGGCAAACTTCGTAAGAGTCGCAATACCTCGTGACGTCGGTGATGAGGTGGGGCCATCGGAATCGCTGTCGAAGCCGTGCAATAGTGCGGTTGACTCCGAAATGGCCGGCGAGTCGCGAATCATGATACTCGTCGAGGAGGCGAGTCCGAAGACGGCGGTCGCGTGGGACACATAGTAAGTCCTTGCCCCGCGAGTGCAGGAGCAAGTACCCATTGACGATGCGATAGTGGCTGGCCGGCGGGTGATTCGAAGATAGCTGCGCATATAGCGTGGCGAAGTCTGGATCGGACTCATAGCCCCTGATGAAGTGTCGTTAAAACTCCTCGTCGAATGCGAAGGCATGATGTGTCATAGCGCAAAGATCAGGTCTTCGCGAGAGTGTATCAGCTGCGCGATTGGAGAGGCCGGGAAGATGTTTCGGTGTGAAGTCAAATTGGTCGATGAAGTACATCCATCGTCCGATCGTGCTGCTCACCGTATCCTGCGTCTTGTAGTAGGTCAATGGATTGTTGTCCGTAACCCATGTGAACCTACGACGCCCAAGGAGGAAGTGCCGCCATCGCTTGAGAGTCATGACGAATGCGAGCAACTCCTTCTTCCTTGCATCATCAAGCGAGTTGATGGGAGGCACTTTGTGGCTGAAATACTCCACAGGGTGCCAGTCGTTGTCGTCGTGTTGTGCCATAGCCGGAAGCGTCCGTAGTCACTCTCGTCGGCAGGGTGGGGTCATAGATGCTAAGGACGGGTGCCATGAGCATAGCCGTCTTAAGTGCTTGGAATGACCAGCGTGCGTCGTCATCGAATACGAATGGCACCTTTGGCGATTGTAATCTCGTCAGAGGTGCAACAATCCTCGAGTATCCGGTGACGAATCGCTGATAGTAGCCCGCCAATCGAACGTTCGTGGTGTTGGTGGTCTTGGGCCATACTCGTAGGGCCTCGATCTTGTCCGCAAGCGGACGGATGCCTTGCGGCGTCACATAATGTCCCAAGTACTCCAGCTCCTGCCGCGCGAATTTACACTTGTCGCGGTTGGCTTTGTACTTGGCTTGTCGTAGCCACTCCAAAACGGTGCGCATGTGTTCCACATGCTCCTCCAAACTCCGGCTGTACACCAGGATGTCGTCGAGGTAGATAAGTACGTATCGATCCAGCATGTGTCGGAACTCCGTAGTCATAGCCGCTTGAAAAGTGGCCGGGGCATTCGTAAGGCCAAATGGCATAACCAGCCATTTGAAATGCCCATATCGCGTCTTAAACGCGGTCTTGTAGCGATCCTCCTGCCGAATCTCGAGTTGGTGATATCCCGACTTGAGATCGAGCTTGGAGAAGAACTTGTCGCCGCCCAGTCGCTCGAGAAGATCGTCGATGCGTGGGAGAGGGCCGGCGTTTCTGATCGTCTGCACGTTGAGCTTGCGATAATCGATGCACAACCGCAAATCCTTGTCCTTCTTCCGGACAAAGAGAACAGGAGCACCGTATGGCGATGAGCTCAGGCGAATCCAGCCTTTCTCCAGAAGGTCGTCGAGTTGTGCCCGAAGCACACTTAACTCTTCCTCGCTCATTCGGTAGATGCAACCGCGCGGAGGTACGGCCCCGTCCTCGAGGATGATTTCGCGGTGGATGGGCCGATCCGGTACTACTCCGTGCGGGTCATCGAACACGTCGCTGTAGGCGTCGAGAAGCTCGGTGATGCGTGGATCCGAAGATGAGTCCGTTGATGAAGCGTCATGGGGCGGGAGGGCGTGGAGAAAACACCCCCCCATCTCCTCGATGTCGTCTCTGATGATGGAAGCTCGCATGCTTGCGGCGGATACGACGTGACAGCTGACTTAAGGGTGAGGAGGAGCTACCGTGCATGAGACTAGTACTCCGTTCTGATCACGAACATGAACGGTGCGGCGGTAGAAGTTCACCGGGYGATCCTCGCTTCGCAGCCATGACATGCCCAAGATCATGTCGAATTTGGTGTCTAGAATGTCAAAGGACACCGCCTCACTTGCGTGAGGGGCAAAGTACACTGGGACGTCATCAATGCACCGGTCGATTGACTTGTGTGTGTGACCGTCCGCCAATGTGATTTGCCTGGGCTGGGACTTCCTTCGGACTCGTGGGCCAAGGCCGGCGCGTACCATGAAGTCCTGACTCGTGTAGTTGCGAGATGCTCCGCAATCGATCAAAGCGTTGCAGGTCGCCTCTCCGATCTGAATGCGTACGTATAGCAATGGTGCGTCGATGTTGTCGTACCGTTGCGTCTTGAACTCATGGTCGATSTTCGCAATGTAGGCGTGAAGGTCGACAACCTCTACTCCGACGTCCATCAACGGAGTCGGTACTGCAGTGTGCAAGTAATCCCGCAATTGTGCCTTGAGCACGTTGCAATGCGATTTCGACAATCGACCGGACCGGGGAAGGGGCATCCATTGGAAGTCCGCAAAAGTCAACGGGTCGAGCTCTTCAAGTCGTGACCATGACGTTGAATCCCCGACGGTAGATGGCGGCAAAGCTGCCGAATCGGTTGCCGATGCTGATGAAACCGTGCTTGTGGTAGATTGTTGCACGTGGAGCAGTTGGTCCAGCGGCGGGACCAAGTGGACAGCATAGTCCTCGTAAGCATACCGAGAACTAACGACATTCGCATCCTCCCCAGATGTGTAGGAGGCCGTTAGCAAGGCGGCCGAATCTGGCGGAGTGGGGGGTGGAGTCGCCTCACCTCCCGCGAAACTCAGTTTCCCGAGTTAAGACGAGGCGGCACATCCTTCTTGGCCTGATCCTGGCAAATGGAGGTCTTGTGCTTGGTGCTGTTGCACCAGTAACAGCAGCCGTAACGGTTGCGGTACTTGTACTCGGCCTCGGTCAAGTTGAACTTGACCTATGGTGGTGTTGGCTGTCCGTTTCCGGCCTGCGATGCTGGTTTCGCCTTCCCGTTCACTCGGGGTTTGTTGTTGCTTYGCGGCTGGACAGCAGCCACCTGATCTTCCTCACGTGACGCTTGGGTGGCTGCCGAGTCTTCCACAGTGTTGTCCGATTGGACTGCAGCGAATTGCTGTTGTCGCGGACCAGTTCTCACCTTCTCCACATAGGTTGGCTGCCACGCAAACTTCTCGTGTGCAGCCGCCCTGTTGGTCTTGATGATCTCTCTCGCCTTGTCAATAATCTCGGCGAAAGTTGCATACTGCTCGCGATCACCAAGCGCCTGGCTCAATGCAGATCATGACCTGTTGTAGAACTCACGGCGCAGATGCAGAAATGGTAAGTCAAGATCGGGCGTTGCCGCGATCTTCTGCCATTCCGTGAGCCAGCCACGTGTTGCTGTGTTGCCTTGAGTCATGGTGAAGAGACGGTTGATGGCTAGTGCTGGTGCGTCGTCGACGATGAACCGCTTCTTCCACAGCCGTGTTAACTCTTCCCATGTGATCTTGTCCTTCAGATCTGCGACGTCGACGCCGTGGGTGGCTGCCAGGTGGGTTAACCAGATCTGGCATCCGCCCTTTGAGTTCATGAATAGGGCGCCGATGTACGCGTGCTTGGCGATAGGCAGAATCCGAAGTTGCGTCGTGAAAGCTTCCCACCAGAGCACCGGGTCCTGATGTGTGCAGTCGTCGAACTTCTCCAATTGAAAGGTTGGCATCTTGTATTGCTTTGGATTGTCGCCATCCGTGTTCGGCGACTGCAGTTGTTGGACCTCGGTCTTCAAAGTATCCAGCTGATTGTTGATGGTGGTCGGCGCAACGAAGGTGTTGATGTCGCTGAGCATTGCCACGACGTGGTCGACGCGTTGCTCCAGTTGGCGGTTAGAGGGTGCACTGCTGGACTCACCAGCATCTAGTCCTGGTACAACTTGCTCCAGGTCCAGTACACGGGAGTTGAGTGCCCGTGTAGCATCCTCGTGGCTCTGCACCATCCGGCAGAGGTTCACCAATTCCTGGTGCTGTGTCTTCAGATCCTGGTACTGTTGCTGCAGTTCCTGGTTCTGTTTCTCTAACTCGGATTGTTGGTAGTTGCACGTGTACAACAACCGTGTCACGAGTTTGGAGAAGAACTCCTTATGCTGCTCTTCCAGTGTCGCGTCGTCGTCGTTGGCCGGTTCAAAGTGCCAGAACTTGAGTCTTTCAATGCTGGCAGCTTCATGCCGCTGCAGCAGAACCTGGGCCTCCTTGCGGCGTGCCTGGGTATCTGCGTCTACTTCGGCCTATAGCCGCTGCTTCTCAGTTGTTGCCGCTGCTTCAGCCTGTAGGCGGGCAACCTCGGCTGCCAGTTGGCGCTGTTCCTCAGCCTCGATGAGAGCGATCTGAGCCTGGAACCGCTKTTTGTAGTCGGCAAGCGACTCATTGGCCAGTTGGCCTGGCATGCCCAGAGCTGCGCCCATCATGGTGGCGGGGCGCTGCTGACGTGGCACTGTTGCTTACGTGGCACTGTTGACGTGGCACTGTTGCTTACGTGGCACTGTGACGTGGCACTGCTGACATGGCACTGTTGCTTACGTGGCACTGCTGACGTGGCACTGCTGACATGGCACTGTTGCTTACGTGGCACTGCTAACGTGGGACTGCTGATGTGGCACTGCTGACGTGGCACTGCTTACGTGGCACTGTACCAACTTGGAAATGCATGCAAAGGGTGGGTGGGGAGGGAAAACATAGGTAGGGAACCAACCCAACAATACTTTCCTCCCGGCCCTAATCAACAGATAAAATAAAATAAATAAATAAAAGAGGACTACTTCCTTTTTTTTTTTTTTTTTTTTTTTTGTATATCTGTCGATCTGTTACGAGTGAGACATGTCAGAAGAGTACTATGAACGAGCTCTAGGCTAGGTTCCGCAAAGTTTCGGCTTTTACAAAATGCGATCTTGAAAAAAAAAAATTGCGAGATAGAATAGAGATGCGATTTTCAGAAAAGAACTAAATCCCGTTTCTGAGAATATGGCAACCTCCGAATATGCCTAACGCAATATTGGTAGGCTTTGCAAGATTTCGGTTTTCAAAAAAAATTGCGAGATAGAATGAAAATTCGATTTTCAGAAAAGAATAATTCCAGTTTCCGAGAATATGACCACTTCTATCGTTATCCCAATATGCCTAGAGAACGAAATACTAACATCAGAAATTTCAGCTATGCGAAATATCAGAGAAATGAAATGCTACTATCGGGAATTTTCAGACAAAATGAAATGCAAGTTATCAGAATTTTTCAGATATTTATAAAATATCAGAAATTTTCAGGTAAAAC